TCCGCGATCTCATTCTTTCGGTCATGACCCATCCTTCATGACCATAGGTGAGGGTAGGAATGAAAATGGCCCAGTAGACAGAGAGCTTTGCCTTCTGGCTCAGCTCCCTTTTCGTCACAACGGTGCGGTTAAGCGACTGCAGTACTGCTCCCCGCTTGCTCCGATTCTCCGGATTTTGAAACGTGTATTACAATTAAATCACGGTCAAATATGTTCATCTTGTTGTAGTTGTAGCCCCCTTGCCAGCGATTCTCTCTCTAGTTTAGCATACTCAGCCCGACTCAGACTGGTTGTTCCTGACCCTAGAACCACGATTTAGTCGGGCCAGAAAAAGGTGAAAAAGTAGCCCCGGGCCAAAACTAGGCCAAGTGGAAGCGCAACCAAAAACGGGCCCCGCACGGCTCGGCACGCTTAAAGCGAGCTACCCGCTGCAGTGGAAACGCGCCATAAGAAGAAAGGACAGTAACAGAAGAGCTCTGTGGCTTCAGGCTTGATCGCCGTTCAAATGACAGCGTTGGTTTCCCCAAAAGTGGGCGGGGTTAGGGTTAGCTGGGTTTTAATGCAGTTGGCTTTTCTTAATGGTTACAATATTGCTATGAGTTATATCTGAAGCAAATTATGTTTCTGAAGATGTGTAGTCAATTCCACCATTCAATGTAGCATAAATGTGAACTCTCATTACAGGATCAATACCGGAAACAGACGTAGGAAAGATCCTCCTCCTCATATAATTAAAATGGGCCCACTTTGAAATAAATAAAACATATAGCTGCACCCTAAAAAGAGTTAAAGGTAGGGTAGGTAGAATGGAGAAACCAGCTTGAGTCAGAGCCCTAGAGAGATAAGAGTTACGGCACTCCCATAGACCTCCGTTGTAAAAAATGGCGGCGCCTACTTCCGGGGTATGGACATCGAAATAGTTCCAAATATCGTCATTTGGGCGTTGGACCATGGTTGGACCTCATTCACTTACATTACGGCGCGTCGATTAGTTCCAGAGGTAAGTTGCTGAAATATCGAACTCTTTTGAATTGTCAACTGTCTATATTGTATCAGAGTATCAGAGTATGATGCTTATACTGGTCTTCATTTGTATATGCACAGCGTAATTATCTATATTTTATCTTGGTTGTTACAACCAATTTTGCTAGCATTGCCTGCTAGTTAGCTAGCGCGACTTCGTCAGCTTTGAAGGTAAGATTTCAGTAATGAATCGCTAGCAGCTTATATATCTATGATGCTGGGTAACTAACAAGCAGGATTTAGATTGATTATGTGTTTTTATTGTTATTTTGGTTTTTATCCGCTGCACCTGACCGTGTCAGCCATCCTTAGTCGGCTTTTTCTGGATGATATGACTTAACTGCTAGCACTAGTAGAAATGAGGTGGCGTTTGTGATAAATATTGTATTTAATATTTCATTGAATTTTGGGATATACTAACATTTCATTATGTGACATGTTGACTGTACTTAGTTTTTTTTTGTACTGTTCCGTGTTAACTCATCTGTACTGTACAACTAGCCTAGCGCTACTTTTTAATGCTAGGATATATTCCTTTGTATTGTAATATACACACTAGTTTAATGATTGTTCTTCAAAGGTATTATTCAGTCTTAAAAAAATAATAGCCTACTGAACAGGCTACTCTACAGCAGTGAATAAAGGATGAGCCTAAAACATGGTCATGCATCCAAAATGTTTATTTTTAACAAAATAAACACTTTAAAAAAAAAAAAAAGCACTTTTTTTATTCAGCCTCATATGTCAGCCATGGCTGTTGCTGCTGCTGCTGGCGGAGGCTGCTGCTGCTGAAGGAGGGTGCTGCTGCCGGAGGGTGCTGCTGCTGAAGGAGGCTGGTGCTCGCAACGGCTGCAGGTGATGACTGCTGAAAGAAGAGGAAGCTGGAGGCTGCTGACGGTGGACCGGGAATGGAGATGCCAAGTACATCGATTGCAACGAGTAAGGTGTTTGGCAGTGGCCTAGATGTTATGACCTTCGTGCAGAGGTCTGTTGGGTCTTCTTTGCCTTCTTACTCTGACTCTTGCTGCCAAGATACCCTTTATGTTTATCCTTCCTCTCAGCCCTGATGCACTTTGATGCAATCCTTAACCTCAGCCTGATGTATGTTGAGAGGATTTTTTTCTTCAGGTCATGGCATGAGGGAAGGTTGCTGTCCAGCAACATGGCTTCTTGTTCCAGCTGTGACACTGCATTTGAGGACTCCATGAGGGAATCGCTCGTCCTCGATCCTCCACGTGAGCCCGGTCACAACTGGCCCTTGGCAGTCTGGTCCCTGGAGCACCTGACCCAGGCAAACTGGCCTCTTCATAGCTGACCCCTGACTTACTGGCTCCTGGCACACTGATCTCTGGTAAGGTGGCCTCTTGATTGTCGGCCCCTGACATACTGGCCCCTAGCAGTCTGCTGACATCTGTCTCACTCTCTCTGTCTGTTATGTCCCTTTCATTCCCTTGGAACTCCACCTCAATATCTCCCTGAATCTCTGTAACAATAACAAGGCAATCTTGCTGTTATATGTGTATGCTGCCTTTACATGTGCACCTATTGTCATTTAAGGGTACACTACACTCCTATAGTGACATTCATCTAAGTTCGTCTATTGGCAATGTTAAAGTATGAAGAAATCTGTAGATTATCTACATGTGGTATAGGAGTCTTCAGAGAATCCCTGAACCCTGGTAGTTTTGAAGCTGTATAATCTGAAGGTTGCATTAGGAGTGTAGTCTATCCTTGAATTATATAACATGGGAAACATTGTTAGCTTCATATATCATACCAATGTTTGATGTGCCATAATAGGTGTGGTCATCATTCCTGACGTTAACAGCTGGAGGCATACTCCTTGACGTGGATTTCCTCCTTTTCGGCTTAGGCCGATGTAATACTGTTGGAACAGCATCAGCATTTCCTTCTTATTTTTGTCTAAGCTCAAGGGAGCCAGAGCAGAGGGCTTAAAGGGCCGCATGCGGCTCGAGGGCCATGGGTTGCCGACCCCTGGCCTATACAGACAGTGAGCATTGTGGCTAGCTGTAATTGGACTGATTTTATGTTTTTATTTGTTTTGTGTTTAGCTTTTTAATCTTATTTATTGATGTGTATCTTGTCATTTTGTATGTGATATGGACCTTGAGTCTGAAATAAAGATTGAATTGAATTGAATTGAATATCATCTAGAGAATTAGAACGGCACTTATCATGGCTGCCACTGAGGGACTTCCTGGTCATTTCACTCCGTTAGGAAGGTTCCTAAGCTAAATGGACTATTTGACTTCAGCCTCAGTGCCGCCCACAGGAGATGCGAGCGGAGGACTCGAGGAGGGGAAGCAGCAGGCGGTTAGAGAAATGAGAACTCCTCCTCTGAGCTGTCATTTTAAAGAGACGTCCATTAATGATGACAGGAGGCACAGCAGCCCTCTGTCTGATGGACAGATGTGTTCATGACGACTTATATATTTACTTTTAATTCATTGACAGTGCGGTATAATGAGACAATAACAGGCTACAGATGCGGACATCACACAAATATATGTATATAAATATATACAATTTAAAGTATGAGAGCACTCTCATAATAACGTAACACAATCAGAGACTGGATATATCCCCCCCTCTCCCTGGTCCCTGAAATGGGGAATTGAAATTACGGGCCAAAAGTTGTATTTACAAGTAAAAGTAAGCATAGGACACCAAACCAACTGAGACCCGTCTGTCCGCTGCATCTACGCACTGTACAACACACATACCTACACCTACACACTGTACCACACACACACCTACACACTGTACCACACAAACACCTACACACTGTACCACACACACACCTACACACTGTACAACACACATACCTACACCTACACACTGTACCACACACACACCTACACACTGTACCACACACACACCTACACACTGTACCACACACACCTGGAGCTCCTAAAGCATAATCAGGCTATAGCCGTTGTGTATTTTATTAAGTGAAGCACTAAATGGTCTTAGAAAAATATCGACTCTTTGTTTATATTTACTAAACTAAAGCATACAAATACAGAGAGTAATGTGGGCCTGTTATACTGAGTGATATATGTTTTACACACTACTCTGCTTTGCGTAGCGATGAAAGCAGTTACTAAAATAATATCCAGGGGATGCATGCAGAGCTGTCATTGGCTGAGATACGCCTCCATCGTTCCCGGAAATGCATCAGCGGAAGGGCTGTGGAGGAACCATCAGTGTATCCTCGGTTATAGCTCCTCCAGAGAGCCTCCTCGATGCTCGGTCCTCGATGTGCATTTAGAGAAATGAGATGTCCTTCAACATGGCGCGGTGAAATCCATTTCCGGGTCACTACCGGAGGACCGAGGAGTCGAGGAGGGGAAATTAGAGTATTGGGAAGCCTCTTAGGCCTATAAAAGAGGTCAACAGAAAATACCTCAAATAAACATGACATCGACTTAACATGTGTTAACTCAACAAACTGACCTGCTATAGTGGCTTGGCCAAACCAAGTTGAAACCAAGAGATAATCAATATTAACAGAATACAACAGGACACTGACACAACCCAAATCCTCCCTTTGACATGGAAGCAGGTGGTTTGTCCCAATCTGTCTCAATTGGCAGCGCTCAGCCACGAACCAGGAAGTAACCTCCCTCAATGGCCACGGTAACTCAAGAGACAAAGAAAGTAATTTATGCAACAAATACTTGTGTTAGCTAAAATGTTTGAAAATAAACAAAGTAATGTCAGATTACAAACAAATAAAGAGTTTACCATTTGAATCAAATATGTGGTATTAATAACTGGCATGTTTTACTACAGCTGAACTGAAGCAAAACTACTGAAGGTGAGGGTAGAGTGTAATTGTTTTACCCTGTGTTGATGTGGCCATCACAACATTAAACAGCATTGTCAGAGATATTACCTTCATTCAGCTTTAGGACACTGACTCTATCATGAATAAAATTGGCTTACAACACACATTTTGATGCTGAATTAATGCTCTGAATTTTAATCGAGAACCTGTTCATCTCTCCATATTGAATGTTTTTTGCCATGTTGGCATGACTTTAGAGATGGTATTGTCTGTTGGTCAGTTGTTGGGTCAACTTTCCTCCAGACTGAAATATCTCAACTTTTTGGTTGGATCGCAGTTAGATTCAGTAGAATATTCTTTGTCCCTTGGGGATGCATTGTAATGACTGAAGTATCCCAATAAGTAATGCATATGACATGTTTTCTTTACATCCAGGAGGGGCTCTGTAAGGAAGTGGCAGATTTTTTCCGGCTGTGTATTTTCAAATTCTAGCGCACTCGAGCTGGTTTCTCCAAAATTACCTACCCCACCTTTAAGTTTGTCTTTGTTAACGCCAGAATATTAAAACAATGTATCGTCCTCACATCGGTGGCATTCATGATCAAGACATTTAGGTGTGAAGTAGCATAATTGTTCTTTATATACTCTAACTTAGGTTATTCTCAGTGTTATTAAGTAAATGCACTTGCAATGGCAAACAGGATGTTTTGATCTGCTTATGTAAAATTACAACAAAATATACTTAGAAATGTTTTTTTTTAACTTTTTTTTTTCAATTAATTTCTATATACCTTTTCACACTTGTCTTTTGAGATGTTACCATACATGCATTCATATTTTGTTTCACAGTGGTGTACAAATGTGTGCATACATGTGCAAATGGAAATAACAATGTTTCAAAAGAAAGGGGAATTCAAGTTCCACAGTTAAAATACATTCAATAAAAAAGTATAACAGCAACAATAGCAATAATTAATCAGTGCATATGACATTCATATCCTGAGATGAATACAGATAAATAAGCAATGAGTTTAAAAAGTAATATTTCAGCTGTTTTCTGAGGAAGAGTATTTATCCAGTATATACTCTGTAATGTGTAACATCACATGTTTAAATTATAAAATATATTATTATAAATTATAGACATTTGGATCTTACCCTAACCCCAGTAGCAGGTGATTTAATGCTCTGAGTGGTGCTAAGAGTAGAAAAATGCTGGATAAAAGCAGTCCAATTAACTCTGTTTCCTTCATCCTCATTCAAGGTGGTCATATGAACAACATATAAAGTAGTTTAGAAGTTAGTGCAGCGCAGGAAGTAGCTGTTGTTCAGCACGCGGAACAGCCTCCCGGACCTCAGGCTGTACTCAAACATGTATTTTCCACTGTAGATGTAGGTAAAACCTGCAGAACAGAGACTCAATGTTAGTTTCTGTGTCCTGTTATTCTTTTATTTCAGTATGACTAAGAATGCTTCTCACCTTTGTACTGGAAGGCTGCAGTCACCTGGCCGGTCAGTCCGGAGAAAGTCTCATCCACTCGCTTGGGGAATCCCTGGTCCATAGTTTTTCTGACCTCATCATACCTGAGGAAACACAGTCAGTCATTACACCGATTCACCATTTGAAAACCGTCATCACACCTTAATAATTTACCTGAATAAATGTCACATAATCTGAACTCACCTGTAGTAATCGCTGCCTACAAAGAACAGAGTCTTGCCAGTGTCCACGTCATGAAAGACTGCATCAATTTTCTCCACACTTTTGGCCAGACCAAAACTGGAAATTGGTTTAGGATAGCCGCCTACAAGATCATATCCACTGAAAGCCCAAACCATCTTTCCTGTATAGAGATAGAGAAAAGAAAAGAGTTTAGTTTATGCATGTAAAGATGAATCTTGAAAACTGTTTCAGGTAAGGAAAACACAAACCTTTAAAGAGATAGACTTTGTCTGAGCTTCGGCTTTCATAAGCAGCGTCAATGTTTGAGGGGGCATCGGGCCAGAAGTTTGTGATGAGACTCTGCTGAGGTGTGCTGCTCTGAGGGTAGCTCCGCCAGAAGAAGCTGAGAACACACAAGAACATGAATGAGTTCATAAGTCAGAACGTGAATGAAGAGAAAACAATGTCAATGGACTTCAGCATTTGGATATTTGAGCATTCTCCAGGATGTCTGACCTGTCCTTGAAGAAGAACATCTCTCCTCGCAGGGTGGCGACAGCATCCAAGACCATGGTTGAATCACAGGCATCAGGAGTGGTGGGGGGCAGTGGTTCCTTTCCAGAGGAATCCGTATCAGGGCTTGGGCCTGAAGGATAAACAAAATGAGTCACCAAGTATTCAGAAAGCCCAGCATCACATTGAAAAAGCCCAAACAGTTGGTGCTTCCCCAAGAGATTGTCCGATAGCAAATACACTGAAAAACTGAAATATTTACTTTAGTTAAATGTATATTGTCAATAAATGTTTCACAACTCTATTAGGTTAGTTGAAAGCAATAATATTAAGTTGAACCTAATATTTGTATTTAAACGTTATATCATTGCTTTCAACTAACCTAATACAGTTATGTGGAATCTGTTGGCATAATACATTTAATTCAAGTTAACATTTCAGTTATTCCAGTGTAGGCATTAATGGCTCAGCCGGTTAGGACTAACCATAGAGAGACTGGATGCCGTTGACATCGTCCCGGGGTAGGATGAAGGTGTCAGGATTTCTGTATGTGTACACAGGGTACATGAGAGCACCAGCATCATCAGAGTGAGACAAGCCCAGGGAGTGGCCAAACTCATGGGCAGCCACCATGAAGAGGATGTAGCCTACAGCAGAAAACACACTTACAGGTTAGCCTTACAAGATAGTATCATGTCAAAACTGACAGTAGTTAGCATGATCCATCATGGTGTACGTAATAACAAACTGACCTGTGTTTGAACGGAAAGTGAAGTCCTCATCCTCGTCAAAATGAGCATCTCCACCAATGCCAGGGGATGGGGCGAATGCATGGGCAAGAGTACCGTCAGGGCCATCAAAGGGGTAATAATCACCATGTGCTGTTAACAAGAACATACTCAGGTCAGGTTTAGCTAAACAGAGGGACAATAAATATATATAAAAAACAGAAAATCAGAAACAGCTTACAATTAACCATCTGTCCAATGTGGTTCAAGACTTGCATGAATTTAGGGTTATGGTTAAGGCAAGGATGCTATAGGGGAAGTGACAACCAATAACCTGAGCACAGAAATAGTATATAACTGGTGAAGACACAGTAAAAGTTCTCTGTACTCACATTGGCGGCCAAAGGAGATCATGATGTCAGCGGTGCCACTGTAGATTCTGGTGAATCTCAGAGGAGTGACTTTGGCCCAAACCTGCAGAGCTCTTTCTATAGAATCATCTACCTCTGACACAGACATGTCCGGAGTGTAGTTCACTATCCTGAGGAACAAAAGTCAAGAATATTATTAGTTAGACCTACTAAATATACCTTTCCATACACATTCTCTGTTTAGATCAGTCACCTGTAGGTAAGGCTGTTTTTCTGCCACTTGTACTGTCCAAACGTGGAGAAACGGGCAAGATTTTCGTCTGGAACACCACAGCGAGGCTTCTTCATGATTGCCACGGTGTCAACATCCAACGTCCCGGTGATCTGGAGACCAAAGAATCTCTGCATCTCACTCAGCTTCCTGCTCACTGGGCTGACCCCCCGCCCGTTAGTAGTCTCCTCTGTTAGGTTGTAGAATTTCTTTAAGTAGTTCTGCAAGAAAGAGAACAAAAGTTTGATATACTGCAGCTGTATAACGTATAAACTCTTGTCTTGGAAGAATACATCTGTATCTTAGTATGCAGAAAGCTATTGACAGCAGAAATACTTTTTCCTGTACAGCTAACACATTCCCCATAGAGTTCCCCATACAATATATGACAATAAAAGATAAATCAAGCATACATACCTCTGCACGTTCCTCATCTTCCACAGTAACCTGTGATACTGGCATGCAGTAAGCTGTGAGTGCCAGGCTCAGCAGAGTGCACAGATTGAAAGTCTTCATGTCTTCGTTTCGTTCTCGAGTTTAATTTTTGTTACTGTGCAGAGGGCAGCTGTTTTATAGGCTGAGGACTTCAGAGCGACAGGGCGCGTTGAGCAACTACGTCCTTCAGTGATTGACTCAATATTCCTTTTATGGTTAGGAGAGGTAGTTGTGCTTTGATTGCTAAACAATGCACTGTGAGTCTGATGAAATAACATTTGTATTTGGATGTTATTTATGGGAATTTTATTGGTGGGAAAATAATATTATAACTATCACATAAACTTGCCATACAACTTTATCTGTGTATGTTCTCCAGATTCACTTGTAGATTTAGTTTTAAAATGTGTTTTATTTTGCATCATTTTGTTTTTGCATGTAAAGTTCAACAAACAGATTTATACTCCTGAATTTCCCCACGGGGAACAAAGTTAAGGTCAATTTTATCTTATCTTATAAACAATTATTTTTTTCCTGGAGCCACTTGACAAAAACAACCAAAAATGATAACCCTATATAACATGCTTCTAAAAACATATAATATTATGTTCTCAAAGGTTGAATAAAATGCTGAATTAATTGTTTTTAGGGTGCCAACAACATGGATATGTTTTACAGCAGTGATTGCCATTCAGTATTTGACTGATGACGATTTATTTTTCATTAAGAGTCATTCATTATGTTGTGCTGTTATGTTTATTCATTATTTTAGCCTTAAACATTATTCCTAGTACCCATTGGGTTTATGAATACATTCACGTTTATTTAATAACACATAATTGAGTGTTCTATTGCAAAGAAAGCCTGAGGGTTTTTTCACTTAATAGAGGAACGTTTTGAGTCAGCTCCATGTAGTTATTTTCCATCCAGATAATTCTCTAATAATCGTCACCCACTTTGTACACCAATGTTAGTGGGAAGCTACATTTTTGTAACTCTTATGAAATAGTGGACAAGGAGGAGCAGTAATGTCTCTCACAATGTTTTTCTCAGGCAAATCGATCAACACCAGTATAGGAAGTCACATTTAGAGAGAATGAAAAGGTTGAAAAAAAAACATGTCACAATGAAGCAGAAGGTAGAAATGCAGAAAACATTTAATTATTCGTGGTTTATCTTTAAAAGAAATGTATCATCCATCACATATGGAGTATAACATAAAAACAAAGGCATGCAGTTGCAGCAATACAATAATAATATCAACAATAAAATCAAACACAACAGGGGCCTTTACATACCTTTCTTTGAAAAAATATGACCTCCTGTTGTAACTCTGTAACAGCATCAAAGGACAAATGTGGATCAAATGTTGGACTGATACCTGTTGGAAACAGAAATAAACAGTTTAGGTACATTCTTATCAGAACAAATAAGACCCTGGTCTTAAAAATGTATCCAGCTTTTTTTCCTATTTAATCAAATGTTCTTGGTGTAACTATCAGAAAATTATTGTTATAAACACAAGTTAGGTAAAGTTAGTTGAAAGCAATCTTTAGATTTTTGCTTTTGCTTTGCGCTCAGGGGCGCACCTTGCGAACAGGCAAGGCAGGCAACTGCTTGGGGCCCCGGACCAGAAGGGGGCCCCCAAAGAAGGTAGATTAAGAAGGTCCACAGCAGGCACGTGCACACATAGACATCAAAGTGGGCTTGATCCCCTGCCCTTTTTTAAAAATCTTTATAAATGAATATATATCTACTGCTGTTCGCGCACAGTTTCCCTTTCCAACAATATATTGATTGAATACAAAATTAAAATATCAGATCGGGAGATTAGAATGTGAAGTTCCGATGCTCTCCCTCCCTCCACGTCTCCTGCACAGCGGTGCAGACATCGGCAGTCCCTTCAGACAGACAGGTAGCAGCACCTCCCACTTTACTGTGCCATGTTATGCCGGCTTTTCTTGGCTTATTTTGAAGGTGAGTGGTGATGAACAAATTACTAAACTGCCAGTGCCTCGAGTTTACAGCTAATTAGCTAAAAGATACTAACAAATATAGTTAACTAAGGTAGGCTACTAGCTAATAGATAAGTTAGCTCAAGGTTTAGCTAAGGCAATGTATCATGGGCTGGGCATACAGGCTAATGTACTGTAGGCCTACTTAAGGGGAGACACTTAAAGTGAATACAGTAAAATGTGTATCTAATAACGTCATCACAATCGCCACATTGATATGCAAATTAGGCGTTAACTAGGCTTAATTAAAATGCGCTAATTTGCATGCAGTTACCAAGGCATTGCAGGTGAAAAGGATAGAACAAAAAAACTAGGGCTGTCAAACGATTACAATTTTTAATCAGATTAATCACAGCTTAAAAATTAATTAATCATGATTAATCACCATTCAAACTATGTCCAAAATATGCCATTTCTTTATGTATATTGTTGTGGGAATGGAAAGATAAATGAAAGAAGGCGGGTATATCCATTTAACATACAGTATGTGTTTATTATAAATAGGGCTGTCAGTCGATTAAAATAGTTTATCGCGATTAATCGCAAATTAATCGCACATTTTTCATCTGTTCTAAATGTTCCTTAGAGGGATATTTTTCAAGTTTTTAATAGGCTACTCTTATCAAAATATGAGTGGACAAATATGCTTTATGCAAATGTTTGTTTATTATCATTTGATCTATGACAAATATTCTCATGAATATTAAACATAACAACCTCTGAACATTACAAAGATCCGCCTCAATTCAACCTGGAACCTCTCTCATACAATAATACAATACTGTGTGTGTGTGTGTGTGTGTGTGTGTGTGTGTGTGTGTGTGTGTGTGTGTGTGTGTGTGTGTGTGTGTGTGTGTGTGTGTGTGTGTGTGTGTGTGTGTGTGTGTGTGTGTGTGTGTGTGTGTGTGTGTGTGTGTGTGTGTGTGTGTGTGTGTGTGTGTGTGTGTGTGTGTGTGTGTGTGTGTGTGTGTGTGTGTGTGTGTGTGTGGAGAGACACTGTGATGGATCGTTGGAGCTATGTGCAATTCAAGGCATATGCTCGAACGGGAGCTGCCTGGACGCTGCACTCATGTTGCACTATCCGTGCTGAGTGTGCTGACTTTTCGTACAATGTCCCACTGTCTGGCTTCCTGCATAAAGTCAAGTGCTCGGCGCAGTTGTCGGCGAATTGTCGCTCCTCTGTTTTCATTGAAACAGCTCCTTATATCCGTTAGCGCAGCTAGCTAGCACCAGATGCTAACAACAACAATACACGTAAGGTCTCTCCCGGTCCTCCCAATAGCCAGTCGGTGCCTGCCGGTGAGCGTGGAAGTGTGGTCTGCCGCAAGCGGACGGCAGGAGCGGGGCTGTCAGCATCAGCTTGTAGATGGTATTTTAAACTCGATGCGCTCTGAAACTACGGGGCGGCCGAGGACAAAAAATACACATGCGTTAATCGCCTTAAAATAATTAGTGGCGTTAATTGTCTTTTGCGTTAACACATTAACACAGCCCTAAAAAAAAACACATCACCTCACAACATCCCCATATAGTTACTTACGTCAAGTCAGTATTTTCCCCGAAAATGTTACGTTTAAATGCAGATTAGCTTTAAATCTAGAGATGAATTCAGACATGGTATTAAAACGAACACCATTTATATGTGTTTCTTGGAAGTTTTATTTCCATTAGAGTGAAAGAAAACATGGAAGCAAAATAGACCAAAATAACAAGTAGGCCTACATGACAAAACGATATTTTTGCCTAAAATGTCTTTAAACAGTAACTTCATCATTTTGATTGTTGTCTGCTCATTTAATAACTATTAATTGTACAAGTTTGTTGTCTGCTCTTGTGCATTGTGAATACTAAAGAAGACCATTGTCTCTGTGTTAGCTGATTATTTTTGTAGAATTCTGTTGAGTATTAAACAATTGCGTGAGTGTGAGGGTATTAAAATAAATTGGTCAGTAAGTCAGAGATGTGCAACTATATTTAACTTTTAGTTTTAATTTTTTTTTTTATAAATGATTATGGGAAGTGCCCTTTTTCTCACTTGAGCACCCGCCCCCCAAAATGTCTGTGCACGTCCCTGGTCCACAGCAACGACAACATGAAACACCCTTTAATTTACTGCAACGACATGTCGGGTAACCCCCTCAAGCCAGCCAGTGCAAACCCCAGTGGGAGCGCTGGGTCTAACTTGTGTAACGACAGCAACAGTTAGTGTGCTGATCGGGCCAGAGTCAGGCCAGACCAAGATCAGACCTCCTACGCTGGGTCTGTCTCTGACTTAACTTAATACAAGTAAAAAGTTATATGCAAGAATACTAATTCAGAATGATGTACTGTATCATCTGCAAATAATCAATTTCAAGAAAGAATGAAAGAATAATCAAATATTTCATATAGCAAAACCTTGACAGAAGCCAGTTAAAGCTCCCTATCAAGATTGAATTCTTCCCGAGTGGCTGTTGTGAGCTCAATCGCAAGAAATGTATATGCAAGCTTTCATATGAAATCTGTCTTATGTAATATATTGCATATGATAACGTGATGTAACCATTATGCAATGATGTTATAATGCTAGTGTCTGATGTATTTATGAGTTTATAAGTCACTTTTAGACTGTGAAGAAACTGCTCAGCTATGCATAAAAAAAGGAAACAATACAGTCAGAATATGACAGCAGAGAAAATCTAAGACTGTGAGAAGTTGGTTGTGAAAATGAAGCGTTGACACTAACCATTATTTCAAGATTTACTGTTATTGAAGACATTTCTAAAGACTGATGATGAAACATAACATTTCTCAGGAAAATTGATCAACACCAGTATAGGAAGTCACATTTAGAGAGAATTAAAAGGTTGCAAAAAAAATATGTCACAATGAAGCAGAAGGTAGAAACGCAGAAAACATTTAATGATTTGCGGTGTATCTTTAAAAGAAATGTATCATCCATCACATATGGAGTATAACATAAAAACAAAGGCATCCAGTTGCAGCAATACGATAATAATATCAACAATAAAATCAAACACAACACAAGAAAAGTGTACTTTGATACAAATGACATTATTACTCACCCGTGTAACACGATGAGGTACTGTAATACTTTTAACCACTGCCTTGAATCATCCATCACTTCCCTATTTGGTATTAGGTACATTGTGGTTATTGCTGATTATAAATGTTTTGTAACACTGGTGTTTTC